TCAGGTTTAAGTCCCCACCAGGATAGAAACACAGGTACACACACACACACACACTCACTCACTCACACTCACACACATATATATATATATATATAAACTGCACCCCCGATATGTAGTTTATTGAAAACATTAGGGTTAGGTTAGGGTTGTTTTTGATTTAGGGTCAATGTTATTTTTGTTATTTATTTTTTTCTGTTATAGTTCTTATTCATATTTTGAATAAGCTTCTGTTTTTACACTTTGTTTTCACTTTCTTTTGCTTTTATAATTTTATTATTTAAATATTACATTTTTAATTTTAGTTCAAATTTAGTTTTTTTTTTCAGTTAGTAATTTTAGTGCTTCTTAAACGTAAACTAAAATAGATATATACATGTTGCCTTGGCAACAGGTTGAAATAAGTTAAAGTTTGTCAAATATATATATATATTGTTTTTTTTTTTCAATAGAAATGTTTTAATCATTTCAGTTAAAGAAAATAATGCTGTTTGGAGTTGAGCTGAGTGAACACTGCTGGCTGTTTGCTGGTGGCTCATTTCTTACAGGAGGTCAGTTTGTGGTCACTATCTCCTGCAGCGTCTGGGTTTCTCTCATCAGAAACTCACTTGTTGTACAGCACTATATCAGGCAGCCAGATGTGTCTGGAGGGGATCCGGAGCTTGTCGATTCCCTCGTACTCCGCCGGGTCCCACGACAGCCGATAATCATTCCAGTTCTGCAGATAATATCGCAACTGTCTTATCATTTCATATATGAGCTATCCCTCGCTCAGACAATTACACGCTCGATTAGCGGCGTGATGAATGGACGTGAGCGCACTGATTATAGGATAAATTCAAGATCAAGCACAAGGACGCCAGAGCTGATGATGCTTTAATCGAGTAATAATTGACATCTGATGAGCCTCTGACACTGACCTGAGTGAGCCAGACGTTCGTCGTCATGATCTGCTCTCTCTCATTCTGGAAATAATAACACATAAGCACATCGCTGATGGAAACTCATATCATTTCTCACATTATGTAGAAATGTCTTTTCAGCAGCGTTAGATCTGTATTGGTTTATATTAGTGACCGATGACCTGGTGTTTCTCAGTTGCTCATGTTGTATTTCTGCCTTATTTGACACACATTTCAGGACGTTTCATTACTAATGCGCTGATGGTTTGATCAGGGAGGCATCAGGACTGAGAAACGCTGTCAAAAACACAACATGATATTTCACGGCACACACATCATTGTTTTTAGTGGCTGGTTGTGGAATCAAATGTGGATGAACGTATCAATATCTGTTTGTTTAGGCCTCACGACTGATGGAAATGCATTTAGAAATCTCTGATGCAACTTTCAAACTTTTTGGCCATTGAAACACAGTACAGAAGCATAGATATTGAGATTTTGAAGGCTGTGGAGGTCTGGTTTTGACTCACCACACTGATGAGCTGCGCCAGAGAAACCTGCAGGAGAACCGTCACTCTCTCGGTCCGGTTCAGCGCCGGCCGGATCAGTTTATTATAGCGCTCTTTACCCAGCAGCCAGTTCATCAAGCGCTCCTCAGAGTCTGCACAGAGTCCACCTGCAGACCGCCAGAAAACACCTCAGACCACAACACCACAGACTCATGCATGAAACTCGCTTGGGTTATAAAACACAAAGATGGTGACAATAACCAACAGAAATACTGCATTATGATTTTCAGTCGAATGCACTTGTTGTACATGACGACTAATTAGCCGAGATGCTCCATTAGAAAGAGAGAAAGATGCTTAACCCTGGTGAAAACTGTAAAAATCTATTCTAACAAAAATGCATGTGCTAAGAACATTGAAAATATTATTTCTGAATGTTCAAAATGTCCAGGTTGTTTTCAAAAGGTTTTTTCTTGGATATATAAACATTTAGGAAATATTGCACTTTTTCATTTTGCAAACATTATGGGAACGTTAATCTGAATGTTCTGAAACATTAAAAAAAAAAAAAAAACGTTAGACAAATGTCCAACTAAAACATTTCAGAAAAAAAAAAAAAAAAAACATTCTATGAATAATTTATAAATAACGGATATACAGTTGTGGTCAAAACTTTACATACACTTCGCAGAATCTGCAAAATGTTAATTATTTACAAAATGCAATCTTCTGAATTTGAAGAGCAGGGTAAATTGTACTTATTTTGTCTTCTGGGAAATATAGTAAGTCCCTTCTGGAGCTTCTGAAGGACAGTACTAAATGATTAAATATGACATTTAAAAAAAAAATAAGAAAAAATGACACGTCTCTATTCTGTGCAAAAGTTTTCACCCCTGGCTCTTAATGCATGGTTTCTCCTTCTGCAGCATCAGCGAGCGTTTGAAGCTTCTGTAATAGCTGCGTTTGAGTCCCTCAGTTGTCCTCAGTGTGAAAAGACGGATCTCAAAGTCATACTGTCATTGTTGGAAAGGGTTCAAATACACAAAAGATGCTGGAAAACCAAAGAATGTGCAAGAGCCAGGGGTTTTTCTGGAGAACAGCAGGCAGTTTAACTGTTCATGAACAACTATCAGAAAACATGAAAACAGTCACGGATCATCAAGGTAATAACACACAGTATTAAGAATCAAATGTTTGAATGGTGTCACGTTTATAAAATCAGATATGGACTATATGTAAACATCTTTTATGTTAAATATCTTATTCTGGACAATGCTAAATAAATAAAAAAATAACATGCATTTGTATGATCCCTCTTATTTTGGTAAAATAATTCAGATTTTTGTATGTTTTGACCACAACTGTATAACGTTTAGAGAACATTATTTAAGACCAGATCATTATTAACGTCACTAGAAGAGCATGAAACAGTCTTCATCACACGTAATGCCAAGGAGGTTCTTGAAATACATTTTTGTAACTAACAAAGTCCATAAAACCCCAGACGTCTGAATTATTACAGCTGTGATATGGTGGATATTCCTGTTCCTCTGATCATGAAGATCAATATCAAAATCAAACAAAACTCTATTTGAGTATGAGGATGTTTATTTTGTCACAATCAAACAAACATGATCCATCCAGGAATAGTGAGAGGGATAATTCAACATGAATGGACAATATATATATATATATATTAAATAAATGATCATAAATAATATTAATAATGAATACATGATAAATAAACATAAATAAAATATCCTGTCTGCACTCTGAATAAAGACAAAAAACACTAAAATAAATATAAAATATACCTAATAATTCATCTTTTGGATGCAGTGGTCTAACACTATCTGTCACTGTAGCAATTACACTCTCAGATAAAAAGGTACAAAAGCTGTCACTGGGGCGGAACCTTTTCAAAAGGTACACTTTTGTACACTTTAGGTACTAATATGGATTCTTTAGGTACAAAGTTGTGCCTTTTGAAAAGGTACCGCCCCAGTGACAGCTTTTGTACCTTTTTTTTCTGAGAGTGTAGTTAGTAGATCAAGACTCATGTGCAAACAGATTCTTTGTAAATATGCAGTTCCATCTTTTCATAGCAGTCATATAAATAATGCTGAGAAGCTGTTTTCTTTGGCATGATCTAATCTGACTCAGGACAACACTCAAAGGAGTTTTTATTGGCCTCTAATAGAATTAATATTTATTACAAATCATTCCTACCAAGTTTCTGACCAAACGGTCAAATGAATTGTCAGTGTGCTTCATCATCACACAGCTCTTTTTGTCTGACAGCAGCCGGATATATATATATATATAACAGCATCTCGATGATACTGAAATAACACTACAAAGCAGCCACTTCTGAGGTCAGATAGGCAAATAAAAACACCAGAGCCTGAACTCCTGTTACCATCTTTATTGTCTTCAGTATTTAGGGTTACTGTCTCTCTAAATCCTGTAATTTATTAAGGGGCTTAGTACTGATGACAGGCTGACAAGCGGTGTTTGAAAATCCCATTCATACATGCATGCTCCCAGTTCAGATACAGTAAATAAATATGCAGAAGAAAATCCAGGTTAGTTACTGTACGTTTCTCACGCTCTTCATGCAGTGACACTTCACACATTACAGAACATATCCACCCACAGTTACCCTGAAGCACTGCTGATCTGCTGACCGTGAGAGTCTCACTCAGATCCCTAAAGCAGATCTACCGGATCCTCTCATCCACAGGTCCTCCTCATGCAGTCTGCAGCCTCAGAGCAAACATCTGGACACATGCAGGTCCTTTCACGGACACACAGACCCTAAATGAGCATGCAGCCAGTGTGAGATAGGTTAAGTGTTTCATGACCGCAGGCTGTCCTCAGAGGCACACAAAGACATGACCTCAAACGGCCAGCGACAGTGAATGAACGTGAGTTCAGTCTCTCAGTGTCACTGACTTCTTAAAGGTGCAGAAAGGTGTGTTTGCACACACACACACACACACACACACACACACACAGAGACGCGCTCCTCTGCGCCTCCCTGCCTCTCACAGCAGACCGGGGCTAGTTGTCACAATGTTTAGGTTGAGTTTTGAAAGTCAGGTTTGTGCAGGCAAGGTCTCGGCAAACAAAAAGCAAATGTCTGTTTTAGCGTTATTGACCAGTGGGGAGGAAAAAAAAAAAGTTAATTGAACACGTGACCCTCTGTGACAACATGCCCCAGTTGCTCTATAAATGCCACGTTGTCAATAGAACACCTCATTAAATAGCCTCGTGTAGACCACAATCTGAACAGTAGCACAGTTATGAAAAACAAGCTGCAAAACATGTAAAGGGTGAAAACAGATACTGTAATGAATAAAGAGGCTGTCTGACCTCCATCCATCACGCCTGTCTTTTACATCCCTCTCTTTCCTCTCTCCATCAGTCAGGAGCCAAACCCAACTGAACTGGACTTGTGGCAGTTTTAGAATAAAAGTAAGTCCCACGGTGCACAAAATTACTCAAATTTTAGTGGCAAAGCAACTTGTAATAAGATAAAACTGTATAGAAGAAAACATGTCCACAATGCAAATTATAATGCATGAAGTAGTTTATAAATATGTGTGGGGTTGTCTGGATGGTGTAGTAATTCATATTTTGCATTTTACAAATAGTCCAGAAAGAAGGATAAATGCATTGAACGCTATTGTGCAATAAATATCTGGAATAATTCTTCTCTTTCTGTGTTCAGATCCTGAAATGAACATTATCACTCTCATTTTCTCTCCTCTCTCGAACCCGAGCCCTTCACGTGATCCTGCTGGTGCAGATCATTCACAGGCTCAGAGTTCGGGCTAAACTCTCTCAAGGTCTGCTCTGTGTGTGTTTGTGGAGAAGAGATTGAAACCGCTGATGTTCCCTCAGTCAATCTCACCCGAGCTGATTTATCTCTCAGCCACTCTGCTGAAGGAATGGGGAAGAGGTTCTTTGAGAAACCAAAAATAGCTCTTATATGGCATCATTATAAGAGTGTACAGTACTCTCAACATTTTAGATTCTCTCTGTTTGCTCGTTATCGATGGTTTTCTGTCCTGTGTTGACGTATATTCTGGATTTACAGAACTGAGAGGCTCATCAATAGCCAATAGGCTTTAATTAATCCAGAGACAAGAACACTGATTCGCTGCTTATCATTTAGAGCTGGTTTTATGGGGAGGGACATTAACATTCCGGAGCATTTGCCACGTCAATCATCAATATTTTTGGTGTTTATTTGTCATCTGCTGCTATGATTTTACTTCATATTTGTAATATTTGCTTAATTTAGTCAACTTTTAGGAGCATATGCATGACCTGAATGTTAACAGACGTGGACTAAAAGCCATAAAGACCTCATAAAATTAGTTTATGTAAGAAAACAGACAAAAATTGTCCATGTGCATGGAAGAGAAATGACTAATCAGAGAACTGCTGCTGTAGCAGAGCTGTGGCCGTGTGGACGTTCAGAATGAGATATATATATCAAACGGGCAGTTCATTACCTCGAGTGCTTGGCTCCTATAGCAGAGACAGCAGCATATACAGAGATATTGATTAAAGCCTGAGCAGGAAAATCCACACGTACAGCATGTGATGGGATGAACACGCGTCTGCAGCGAGGATTGCACTGTGTTTATGACGTTAAAATAGATTACGTGATCAATAAAGACAATATACATACTGTGTGTGTGTGTGTGTGTGTGTGTGTGTGAGTGTGTGTGAGAGAGAGAGTGTGTGTGTTAGAGTGTGAGTGTGTGTGTGTGTGTGTGTGATTACTGTAATAGATGTACAGCAGCAGTGATAATCCTGCGAGGTGATAGCGACTCATTCAGTTCCTGATCAAATATGACTGACATGTATTTGAGAAGTAAAGAGGTATTGCTGAATTGTAAGCATGTTAATGATTTCTTTCATTTATGAGCACAGATGAGCGCAGGCTCCTTCTCAGTCCCAAACGGCACTCAATATATTCGATCGGCTTCCATTTACGGCTTAGATTTATAGCTGGATTATTCAATAAAAAAAATTTTAAAGATGGAAATCATAATGGTTGGTTTTACTTTTATCACAATTTCACATTTAAGGGTTGAATTTTAAATCATTTCACTATTTTGGTTTGAGTGGGTTAAAAAAATCTAAATTGAATAATTTTTCCATGTCTAATGTGAAATAATGACTAGTTTATTAAGAAACATTCAATTATTTTTTGATAATTGGAGTAGGTTTTACAAGAAAATACTATTTCAGTCTTTCGACTCTAAAATTTCACATTTAACTCAATGTTTCTTTG